TGATTATCCTAATTATATTTTAGATTTTTTATATTTAAAATGAGATGTTTATTCTGTATTTGATTATGTTTATCTGTAGTTAGTTACACGAATTCAGATATGTAGTTTTAATAAGTTGTATTTACGCACAATCTACTTGTTAAACACTTAACTCTAGCTCTAATTGAGGAAAGTGAGAATATTCATCATAGGGATAGGATGAAGAGCATACCTTGTAATCAGRATTAGAGATGGGTTCTTCAGATATAGACCTCTCTGCATCAAAGGACTTGGCCATCAGACATACTAGAGCTTTATCAGCTTCATCTTTAGAGGAGRAGTTAGGGATACATTTTTCCTTCTCTGCCATGAAGCTCCTCTCTTTGGCATGATATTTATATTTGTTTTTGTAGTAGTCTGCATCTTTAACCAATTTTCCTCTACAGTTCAGCTGCAAAGTGACCTATCTTTCCACATTTGTAACACCTTGATGTCTTGACCTTTCTTTCCATCTCTATTTTCTCTTCTTTTCTCTATTCTCTTTTCTCTTTTCTCTTTTCTTCGTTCTTCTCTCCTTTCTTCCCTTGGATAGAACTTCACTAGTTCATATTCATAAGTGGGGTTTTGTAATCTCTCATTTTTGTATTCCTTTCTATGATCCTTCTCATGGGTCTCTTAACAAACTTCCTTTGAAACTGCCTGGTGATAAGAGCTAGGGATTTTGCAAAAGCTTTTAGATCATCATCTTGTGTCTAAACTTTCATCTTCAGACTCACTATTCATCATCAAAGCCTTCTTTCCCTTTTTTCTTGTGATGGTCTTTTGATGAACTTTTGGCTGTTTCTTTTTCTTCTGAAACTAGAGCCAAAGGACTACCAAGAGACACCTTTTTCATTATATCTTGCTCCTGTGCAGCTAGAGTTCCGTAGACATCATGCAGAGACCAGCTTTCCAAATCTTGATTTGCCTGCAGAGACACGGACAATTGTGTCCATCCATCACCAAGACTTTTAAGAAATAACACATTGTTTTCTTCTTTAGTCCTTGAATGTCAATCATGTGGCATTGATTATTTAAGGTGTTAAACCTGTCATAAGTCTTTTGGATTGGTTCATCAGAAAGAGCCTTGAAATTAGTATATTCATTCAAGAATTGAGCTCTCCTTTTCTTTCTGATCTTACTCCTCCTTCTAATTGGCTCGCAAGTTCATCTCAAATCTCTTTGTTGTTTTGCACGAGTTAAGAGATTGGAATATTTCATTCGGAATAACCATGATGAGAAGCCTCTTCGCCTTCCTGTGCACTTCTATCTTCTATTTATCTTCATCGTTCCACAATTTTTCATTCTTTGGGATGGAATATACAGAAATTTCTTCTATAGTGGGAGCGGCTAAAACTCTAGGAATCAAAGTTTGTGCAATGTGAGGACCATTGATAACAATCTATACAAGTTCATGTCCATGCCCGCGAACAAATTTATCATATGAATCTTCCATTGAGGGTACTCTTCTCTTTGGAGAGTTGGAGGTTTCGTGAGAAAACCCACACTATAAACAGAAGTCTAGTTAGACATTCTACCAGGTTAAAATATCAATTTCTTCTAGATACAAAATGGAAAATATCAATTAATCACAAGATTTTATATCTCAATGAGAAAACTACGTTAAAAAGGGGATAAGCATGAACAATAACTTGACCTTGAAGAAAAAAACCCAATGGATGAGAGAATTGAATCACAATTTTAAAATTGATCGTTTGATTGATGAACTATCAATCTGCTCTCATACCAATTGTCAGATCCCAGTCCTCTCAATCTGTGAATAAATGTAAGAAAATTAGAGTTGAGAAAGACGATCTATTCCTTAGGTTATGAAGAATTCATAAACGCCTATAAATGATCAAGAACAGTTGATAGCCATCATCATCTTTATTGATATTTGAGAGAAAAGCTTTGATGAATTACACATAAGAATTAATCAAGATCAAAAGGATTTCCAAGGAGGCGTTGTTCATAGACCAAAGGGACTCTTCATCAATAGGTGATTATTAGATTAGGCATCTCTGGTTCTTCATGACCTATCTCTGATTTGCCTTCATTGGATCTCTAGTCTTCAGCACTTGATCATTTACAATACTTTTACAAGTAAGAATTCTGGGGTCTAACAATTATGGAAAGTTGATTAAGAAGAGGCCTCGATTTAGGTTTAAAATTTCTTAGAATTTTGATTTTAAAAATAAAAATGTATCATTAAATGACTTTAACCTTTTTTTATTGAATTTAATCAAATTACTTTTTTTTATTTAATTAAACCATAACTCATTAAATCCAAAATTCACTAATATTTTAAATTATAATCATTAAGTAAATATTATATGAACTTCATAGAATATATTACAATGTTAATAAATAAATACTTATTTTAATAGAGTGTAATGTTTATTTGTTCAATTCTTATGTTTTTTAGTAAGCTAACAATACTTATAAATGAAAGCATTTAAATTTTTATTTACTTAGGGGCCGTTTACCAAATTCTTACTGGGTAAACGCTTATCAAGTGTTACTACCTTCCAGAGGAGCATGGCAAGAAATATCGCGAAGACGGATGATCTTAACGGGTAAGTGTGGGAGAAGACTCGTACCCGGTGAGTGCTTACCAGGTAAAAGACGTTTACCATCAATCTATTTTGATGGTCGAGAATGTAACTCGATAAGGTAAGTGAAGGTGGTGTTCTT